TGACGCGCACCCATTTCGGTTGTTCATGCATGGATTTCCTGCAAAAATCCAGAATGCCTCGAGAGCTTTTCTACTAGCAATGTCAGACTCGTATGCCAGTATAGTGCACGTAATTTCGAAGTCTTTACCACAATGGAATTCAACCCTCTATGTTTACCAAGCGGTGTTGTAAACAGGGTCAAGCTTGTGATGCGACTGTCGCAACGGGGGGTCGTAAAGAGGCTACCTAAGGTGGGGGGGGGGGGGGGTCGTAAGAGAAGGCAGTTAGGCTAAAATACCCTAAGCTTGAAAGGGAATCGAAAAGCAGATAATTGATTATGTACTTCACAATAAATCTATAAAAAAGTGGAAATCAGAATAAAAAAGATAAAAAATCTGTAAAAATTCTCAAAAAAAAACATTTACAAGAGCTCAAAACACTTTTGAAGAATGTATGATTTGATAGAAATGCTAGATGTACCGATTGCCCTAGAAATCTTGCTTCTGAAGCCCTCCTGAAGTCTCACACACTCGACAAAAGCGAATATCTATACCAGCTGTGACTATCATAAATTTCCAAATCTTTTTGTAATGTTTTTTACGGGCACATATGATTAATCTGTACTTTGGAGATGCTCCGCTACATCAATGCAAAATTTGGTGTTATTTTGTCAACTGTGGATTTTCTTATAATTTTATGTATGGTAGCAAAAAATCAGGAAAGGGGGGTCGTATCTGAGTCGCATCTAAATTTCTTCGGAGCTATTGAAGCTTGTTGGCTGCAATTCTGCTGTAATATGAGGCCATCCTTCTATTTTCCCTCATAAAAATTGCAGGCTGTTTTATAACTTTTCTGGTAAGTTACAAAATTTTAAGCTCAAAAATCCCAGTTTTTGCTTTTTAGGATCGCATCTAAATTTGCGAGAGTCGCATCTGAATTTTTTCGAGCTTACTGCTCCTCAAAAGCTGAAACTTTTTCTATGGATAGTCTGGGCACTATACTACAGAACCTGTGTTTTGCAGCTTCTCAGTTTTTTCCTGGCCTTAGTTACGAATTTTCAAACTACCGTGCTCATGCACGTTTTTGACGTCGTTTCTGGACGGCGCTCAAGCGTTTTTTTCGCGGGAGAAACTGTGAAAGAGGTAGGAAGTAAGCTTCTTAGTCGAAAACGTCTTTTGTAATTCAAGAATGTCATTTTTTTATCCGTGCAAAAATTTGTGTCGCCTACGGGAATCGAATTTGCTGGTCTGAAGTATGCCTGAAAATTCAAAAAAAAACTTGCAGATTCTCAAACATTATTGAAGGTGTGTATGTGTGCTACAGATGCTGGACGCACCTACTGGCCTAGAAATTCTGCTTCAGAAACCTCACTGAAGTTTTCACGCAGGTGTTTTTTGAGATTGACATTCGTTTACGCAGGTTACCGCGAGGAATGTGGGCAGGGGAGGTAAGGAGGATAAATGGGGAGGGTGGGGGGGGGGTTGTACGGATGGATACCCTTAAGGGGGGGGGTCGTAACTGAGGGTCACGGATCGCATCAACACGCTTGACCCTGGTTGTAAAACTTCCCCGTCTCTTGCTGGCAAGATGTCCTTTTATTCTTATCTAAAGCGGTCTCCCATTCTCTCCGATATAAGTGCGCTGCACTCGACACATTCAATCTCATATATAACACCAGTTTTACCGCAGTCACCAACTTTGGATGGTCAAACTACGCAGTCTCGGACTCTGCAGTAGTTGTCGTATAGTCTGTTACGAACCAGCCGCTTTTTGATGTTATCACTAGGAATATCAACTAAAATGACCTCGTCTTTCAAGTTCGCACGATCAATGCATCGCCGCACTGTAGCACTAGTCTCGTCAGAAACGAAAGGAAGGCAAAGAAGTACATTCTGTTGGTGCTGTTTGCTATGAGTGGAAAGGTCTTCTGCGTCCTTTTTGGGGCGCGTACCATTGATTCGAGCAATCTCCAGCGCCCTACTTTGTGATTTCTTTGTGATTCCTTCCGTTCTTCTTCTCCTGTGCAGGAGACTGGGAGACCGCTTTGGGTATGAATAAAAGAACATCTTGCCAGCAAGAGACGGAGAAGTCTTACCACACCGCTTAGTAAACATAGGTTTGAATTCCATTGTGGTAAAGACTTCGAAATTACGTGCACTATACTGGCATACGAGTCTGATACTGCTAATAGAAAAGCTCTCGAGGCATTCTGGATTTTTGCAAGAAATCCATGCATGAACAACCGAAATGAATGCGCGTCAATCACGAGTGTATTTATGCCTTTTATGGCATTACGTGAGTTGAAGAATGCCACTGATTAATATCAATATGGTATATACTGTATTCCATACTAGTGGCACTCGTGGACGGCCGCATTCAACATCCACCTGAGCCGCAGCGGCGGAGGAGGTCAGTTCGCCTTTTGCGTACCTGCGTATTTTTCTTTGTAATATTCGGGGGTGGAATCGAGGCTGGCCAGGGGTGGAGGAGGTTTGTGGTGGGGTCGAGCATAAATCTAAATCTCCTACCACTTTAGGCCTCTAAAGAAGACGAAATCGTCGAAACGTTAGGCCGCCACTACTAATAATAAATCTACTAACCTCGTGCTGGCATACAAACTACTCACCACATTACATATCGAAACTGACTGCCCTCGTTGTTGCCGTGTGAAAGAACATCTAGATGGACTGCGAAAGTCCAAGTTAAAGAGGCTTCCTGGAGCTGCCGCATGATGCGGTATGGGTTGCATGGAGTCAAAATCTTATCGTTTGAGAGCCTGGTGTCCTAGCGCGCAGAAGAGGCGGCGTTTTGGATATTCACGAAAACCCAAGAACTGAACGCTCATAAAGCACATTGCTATCACGCGAGCATTATCGTGTTATCAATCTATCAAAACAAACTCAACAGTGCCATGGTCTTTTTAGAACCGGTCCAATGCGGCCTTTGAGTTGTCCGAGATTCATATCAACCTATGTACTTAGTCCTCGATGCTACTCTTTTTCGCGAATGTCAATCTGACACTTTTGTTAACATTTGGGAGGAAAGACTCGTCAAACTTGGACCTTACAGGCTCTGACGAAGGCGAAATTGCCGGAACGTCAACCAAGACTAGAGGACAATAGGTCATACAAACATCACTTTACTATAACAAATCGACAAATGGCAAGAAAACAAATGATTGCATGAAATATCGATGATGGGAAGTCAAGTTGTTTTGCGCTGTGCTGATGAGCTGTAGAAGGTTCACAAATGTTCTTAAACTGATGGCCATCGTCAAAAAAGCCATAGAGTTTTCCTGAGCGCGAAAACGGCGAAAAGGGGCTCTAACGCAAGAGGGAAACAGCAAGTGGGCGGGGTCCCCCCCCCCCCCGCTGTGAATTCAGGCTTCCAGCTTCAGGAGCGGTCCTGTCAATTCCGTTAACCGTCCTGACATCGTCGGCCAAGTGCAAATAATTCACTTAACCCGGAAGCGAGAAGATCGCTCCGGAAGTTGGGAGCGTGAATTCACAGCGGGGAAGACCCCTACTGCTAATTTCCCTCTCACGCTAAAGCCGTTTTTCGCCATTTTTGCGCTTTCCACTGTGGATTGCGGTTTCCGGATTTAGCATAGCGAATAGGGTCGGGTAAGCACAAAATCTCAAATCCGAGTTCTTGCCCGGACACTGCCTTTAAAGGCACCGTCCACCCAGATTTTTGACTTCCACGTTTTTGCCGTTTCAGGGCCTTCTCATGTCCCTGATTCCGAATATGAAGTGGAAAATGCACCAAAACCCCAACAATCCCCGTTCCGGAGAATCCACAGGCCGGCCTTCTGGGACGGTGATTGGACGGGCGCGCACAAATGGGCGGGCATGGATGAGGGAGGGCGGGCATGAATGGGGGTCCTCGTGCATCTTCGCTATTCCGAAGCGATTTTCTTGCTTCCAAAGCGGCATTTTGCGCCAGGACTTGGGCATTAGATTGATAAGGGGCCCTACTATTATATGCTGCCAAAAGCTGAGTACTCTCAACAAAGGGTGGACGGTGCCTTTAAGGGCAACAGCCTGTTCCACAGTTAGACAAATGTCGTCGCAAAATTCGTGCTTTAATTTGCAGTCTGCCAGAGCTTCGATTTGGTGATATACTGAATCATTTGAGTGACGTGCAAGCAGTTGAAAACAAAAAATACTCCAAAACCAGCTTCATTAACTTCTCTTAAAAGTTGATTCTATCGCCTGAGTTTGTTCTTTTCTCAACACTGAAAAAATTTCTTTGACCGCTATCGGTGTCGAGCAAGAGGTGTGACACAACCGCTGGATACGATCCCCCTTAAAGGCAGTGTCCCGGCAGATTCGCGCCCTGGGGGATATTGCCATGGTGGGGTTCGTAGTCATTCCACTGACCTACCGGCGCAGTCCGGCTGGTTGATGTTCCCTCTGGGCCGAGAAAATAGCCCATGAACCGGCGCGCGCTGGACGACTTCGCTTACCATTCGGCGCGGGACCTCACGCCCGCTCTCTCGCACTTTGCATGCTATCCAAAGCAAAAATTGCGAGTAGGGGAACGACTCAGACACTCGCGGTTGACTCGCGCAGGGCAAAACGATGTGTAGCCATTGAATGCGTGGGCGACTCGCGAAATCGGTGTCGCGGCAAAATCAGGACACCTGATTTTGTGTCGCGGCAAAAGTGCGCGGCAAAATCGGGGCAAAATGGGGAGACCTGCGCGAGACACCAAAATGTCGCGATCGCGTTCAGAGCACGCGGCCTACGCCCTTACTGACAGCTTTTTGCGTCCTCTAAGCCCTCTCTCACGCCTTCCTTTTGACTTACCTTGAGTCCTTGGTCACGTTGGGTCCCGTTTCCCACGCTTGTTTTTTTTTCTGCTGATAAACCCAGTCTTACGTCATAAAATTTATTAGCAAATACCACATGATCTTCTCGAGTAGCGTTTACAATAACATCGAAATGAGACAGGAATCAAAGCACCGCAATCACGACACAAGGTTACGAAAGAACTACGGTTAAGAATGACAACAGTATTAATTTTTTACGACTACTTCATCTTCATCTTCAACGTTTTCAGTCTTCTGGATCGTTACGCCTTCTTTGGTAACACTGCTGCCTTCGACCATGACGCGCTTTTTCTGAAAATAAAAAATTATTGTTACCAGGATCGTATAAAACAAACGAATTACCTTTGATGGAAGGAGCATGGACCTATCAGGGTCAAAATGATACCTCCCGATGTCTTCCCTGCAAAAATATAGTTCAGAAGTATCGCTTTCCTTATGAGAAAACTCACAAAGCTCTCCCATTTGCTATCCTCGCCTTACCGCTCCATACTACTCTTTCCTCTGAGAGGACGTCGAATGATTTTCGCAAGCGTCGTCATTTTCGGCTAAGTCCAACCACCACCTAAATTCTAGTGCACATGAAGGTCTTTCTGAAGGTCCATGCTCAAAACACAATAACGTGATTCAAAAAATTGCTCTGAGCTTGCTCAAAGCCTTTGCTCCTTTCGAGTGGTTTGCGCAGAACTTCGCATGGACCGAACTTTCTAGCTAGCTACCCCACTACCACCTGCGGCGAAAACATAATTGCAGATGATGAATAAGCTTCCCATTAAGTATCCATGTTGATTGTACCTGTTTTACATGTTTTTGATCCAACTGATCTACCAACATTGCCCAATTCAGAACTTTGCACGACTTTTCCATTATCTCCGAGATTTGATGTAATTAAGTTGCAATGAGGGTTTCCTTGCCTTAGGGACCTTCTAATATAACCTTAAACAACTTGCAAAGATTGTGGCTGCAAAAGTGGTCCGAACTCTTTACCACTTGCTCCATAGTCTCCGCAGGTATCCACTCGACCACCCGTCCACATCTGCATGCCCTTGGCGCCGCAAGCTCAATGCGAGCCTTAGCCGCATCTTGGGTAAACCATCGCTCATAACTTCGCCCAGAAAATCATTGAGCAGCTAAGGATCACGAATTTGGCATTAGGGCCCCAAGAGCAGCAGAATGATATGCATCATGTGTGGAAACCCCACTTCGATGGATGATCCTTCCCTTGTAAGTAAATTCCGAATTCCAGCTAAGCCAACTGTCAGAAATGATGACGTGCGGGATGAACAATGTGCATAAACTCTTTCATCTTCCGAATTGAGTACAAATCACTGAAAAAAAGGCGAGAGTCAAATGAGTGATTTTTCTAAACTCGTGAGATGCGGTACGATAAATGTGAGCTATGCCAGGTAAATTTTGAACTGGAATTGTGTACTCTAAATAATATGGAACTGGAACCGGCAATATTGATGCCAGTTTTTGCACAGAGTTGAACCGTAGATGACATTCTTCATGTGATGAAAAATCTGCTTTAAGAAGTTCAGAAAAAGCATTACAAGCAACCGCAGTTCAAAAATCGCATAACCTCCAAAATTTCGAAAATGACTGTCTTGTAAGCTCATACCATTTCAAGAAATGAGCAACCGCAAAAGAAGAACATTACTTTCTCAGTTTCATAAATAAAAACATGCCTTCTCATTCAGCTCTTGCACGGCCGGAAGATCACTATCCACTTGTGAATCGACATTCTCGCGGCTTTCATCATTGTCATTAACATTCTCTTCTTCCTCTTCTATAAAATCCTGGAATGAGCTTATATCATAGGTGAATCATGGTAATCATAATGCGGACTTCCGACCTCCTCAAGAACAGGATTATGCTTAGGTCGGCGTTCCCTTCTTGGCTTCGGGGATCGCAACGCAAAATCGTCATCCCATTCGTTTTCGTAAAAGCGCTTGAAAACCAAAATAGTACACGTTAGCATAAATACTCAAAGTTCAGTAATCAGCTAAAGTAAGCAAGCAAAACAATCTAAGAATGAAAACTTCTAAAAAGAGAGAAAAAGGGTTCACCTTTACTTCCGAATGATGATCAACGCAGATAATGGCCGTGTGATCAGAAGGACGCGTTCGAAATAAGCGTCTCAAGCTGATTCTCTTTGGTCTAAGCCTGGTTTTTATCGGCATGGAACGTCTCTGGAAAGACATGCTTTGCTAAGTATAGATTTATCTAAGAAAAAAAAACAAATGCAACAAATGCAGGGAAGAATTGATCAATACGTCGACGTATAGGTGCGTTAATTCGAAACCTCCTCGCCCGTCGCGACAAAATCGCACCAAAATCCGGACGAAACTAAAATGATGACTCGCGCCGGTCCACCGGATTTTGCCGCGAACGTCCATTTTGTGGGCGGATCCCCTGCGCGAGTCAACCGCGAGTGTCTGAGGAAAGCCGCCAGTTTGAGACGTCCTTCGCGGCCAACTGCTCTTTTTGCAGCGTTGTTGCATGTCGTTCCAGGACCAGCAGTCCGCGGAGGCGGCCCAAACTAGCGGCTTTCGTTCCCCTACCCAAAAATTACAGGCGCAGGGTCTTCGTGCCAGGACCTCCCAACTTTCTATCAAAATTCTCGTCCAAGCTGCTTTTTAAAAAATTGGGTAAATGCCCCAAAAAAAGTCTTTTCACCAGTTTTAAAGCTCAAATTCGGGGTCTACGGGCCGAAAAAGCCCAAGACATGCATAAAGATGGAAATGCGAAATCTGCCGGGACACTGCCTTTAAGTTCTGTACACCCCACCCCTCAGCCCATTTGCATTGCCTACCGTCGTGATTCAAAGGTTCTTCCAAGCATTATTAGTAACATATTCGTAATTATCATGTCAGCTAACCTATGTGAGCCAAGTTTTAGCGAATTCTGACGGTTTGTGATATTGGGCCACTCAAATGAGTGGCCATTTTCATGGTTAACTACATTTCAAAAGCGAATTAGACAAAGCACTGCTTCGTCGTCTATACCATGAGTCCTTTAATGGCTATCAAACTATGGCATTAGGAGCTATCAGTCTCGTTTGTTTCATTTTTCGCTCGCAGTGGTTGTGTTTAGAGCAACTATTGCTCAAGGGAAGAAGACGAATTTAGCTCCAATAATTTTCCCAGTAGCTAGGATATTTGGCTATCGAAATGTTTATAATTTGTTCCTTAATTAAGTTGATGGGGTATGACATTACCCCAGAAAAGCTGTGGCTGTCACCCTTTTCAGAGGTCATGTCATACTCCATTAATTTACCTTCAAACCATTCAAGTAAATGCTTTTTTTTAAATCGTTGCTACTGCTTATATTTTTCTTTACACAGCAGAAATTTTCGGTTGAAATGGTTTCTTTTAGGGCAAGATATAGTCGTTTTTCCTTACCTAAGCATATGGAATATACTGCAAAGATATTGGGTAACGGTAGCATGTTAAGTCTGCGCTACTACGTTGATTGCGAGGGAAGACGACAAGAATGCATATACTCGACAGCCTAACCCTCGTAATCTTCAAAAGTGATTCGAACATGATTGGTCTTCTCTAGTCTGAGATGTCGAAAGCGAAAAATGGAACAAACGAGATTTTAGCTTGCTCTTAAAGGCAGTGTCCGGGTAAAAAGACGATTTTGAGATTTTGTGCTTACCCGGGCCTATTCACTGCTGAATCCGAAAATCCACATTGCAAAGCGCGAATACGGCAAAAGGACTCTGACGCAGGAGGGAAATCGGAAGTGAGCGGGGTCCTCCCCACTGTGGATATCGCAGCTCCAGCTTCTGAAGCCATCTTCCCAGTTCCTCTAGCTCCCTGAGATCTCCACTGGCCAGGCGAATGCATGACTTGAAGTCGGAACCGAGAAGATCGCTCCGGAAGCTGGGAGCGTAAGTTCACAGTGGGGAGGACCCCGCCCACCTGCTGATTTCCCTCTCGTGTTAGAGCCGTTTTTCGCTGTTTTCGCGCTCTCCAATGTGCATTTTCGGATTCAGCGTAGCGAATAGGCCCTGGTAAGCACAAAATCTCAAGATCGAGTTTTGCCCGGACACTGCCTTTAACTGTTATGTGAAGTAGAGTTCCTAATGTGGGCAAAGAAGTGGTAGTTCTTTGTATTAAAGGCAGTGTCCGGGCAAAAACTCGATTTTGAGATTTTGTGCTTACTTGAGCCTATTCGCTACGCTGAATCCGAAAATGCACATTGTAGAGCGCGAAAATGGCGAAAAACGGCTCTAACACAGGAGGGAAATGAGCAGGTGGGCGGGGCCCTCCCCACTGCGAATTCACGTTCCCGGCTTCCAAAGCGACCTTCTCGCTTCCTGTTTCAAGTCAATCATTCGTACTTAACCGGTAGCAATGTTACGACGGCTAGCGGAATCGAGAAAATCGCTCTGGGAGCCGGGAGCATGAAGTCGCACTGGGGAAAGCCCCGCCCACCTGCTGATTTCCCTCCTGTGTTAGGGCCCTTTTTCGCCGTTTTCGCGCTTTCCAATGTGGATTTTCGGATTCAGCCTGGCGAATAAGCCCGTATAAGCACAAAATCTCAAAATCGAGTTTTTGCCCGGACACTGCCTTTAAGTGCATGAAAAGTAGTTAACTCATCTTCAAAAAAGAAGTAACATGTTTAGAAATGACCACTTTTGAGTGGCCCATATTTGGAAACCTCGGAAATCGCTTAAACTTGGCCCACAGGGGTTACTGACAACCAATACGAAAAGATACTCTTACGTTTTTACAGATCTTCTTGTGCTTACTGTACGTACGGTGAGCCAAAATATCAGCGTGCTAGGAGTTTGCATGTTGGGCCTATCTGACATTGTTAACGGATATCATGTTATCGCTAACCCGAATCAACTTGATAACAACCGCCAGTCCCTGACCCCTCGATACGACCTCCCAAGTGTGGCATGCCACACCCTACGCTTGACCCTGGTTCTAACGAAGGGCGGAAATCAGCAGGTGGCGGGGTCTTCCCAAAGGCGAATCCACGTAGCTTCTGAGCAACCTTCTCGGTTCCCATTTCATGTCACATGTTCGCACTTGGACAGTGGCAATGTCAGGACGACTAACGGAATCGAGAAGATCGCTACGGAAGCTGGGAGCGTGAATTCACATTGGGAGGACCCCGCCCACCTGCTGATTTCCGCCCTGCGTTAGAACCCTTTTTCGCCGTTTTCGCGCCTCCAGTGTGGATTCTCGGACTCAGCATAGTGAATTGGCCATTGGTAAGCACAACATCTCAAAATCGACTTTTTTGCCCGGACACTGCCTTTAATGAATAAAATCTTCGGGTGGACCTATAGTTTTGGCCAGTAATGAACACAGTTGAAGAAATAATCGAAATTTGATTCATGTAGGAAAAAATTATGAAAGATCTTTGAGTTGGGAAATGCTGATCAGTCAAACGGTCTCCCTTCATAATATGGAGTTTTTTTTTTCTCGCAGTCTATGAAAGGCTCATTGCTACCTATTTCTAGTGCAGTGCAGTAATCCTACCGAAGGGTATAGCTGATCGATCAGTGTGATACTTTTCA